TTTTTCCTTATCTAATAATGTATGTGAATGTCCAAAAGAGGAGCTAATGTGGAAAGAGTAACAATGAAACCATTACTGTAATCAATCAGGAAAGACACATTGATGGTTTGGACCAAGTCAGTAACATTGAACATGAATGATAAGGTCAGACTCAAAGTATATTCTGAAGATAGAGGCAGGAGGATTTGATCAATCCACAACATAAAGAAATTCAAGCTAAATTTTATTAAAAATTTTGAATTTTCAATTCCTCTAATCCATATTTTCATGAAACTAGATAATAGAAGATTTTTCTGACTCACTTTTGCCTTAGAATCCATACAATTCCATAGTGAGTGCTGAAAAGAACTCTTCTTACGTATAATTATCTGAAGAAGTCAAAGAAACCCCATTGCTAATTCTTAGACATTGTAGATAATTAGGGGAAGAAGGGTCATAGATGAAATTCTATCATTAGTTCATATTTGGAAAAAAAAAAAACTGTGAAATGAAGTTCCTTCCAAACCAAAGGTGGAAGAAGGAGAAGCTATTCCTTTCATCTCAATCCTCTGGGATCCACCAGAGTTCTGAAATATTCCACTGCATTGGTGCTTCACTCACAAGCTGAAGACTCTAAAATAGAGGTGGTACATGGAGATCTGTGTCTCCTCAGAAAGTTGATTGGTAAGCATTTCCACCAGACAGACAGGAGTCTCATGTGGAAGGAACATGGGTTCATCTTGGGCTTTTTGGGGTGGCTGCCTGGAGGACAGGGAGATCAGCAGAAAGAGGGAAGAGGCAAAGCACAAGATGCTCAGGGAATGTGGCGTATTAAAGGACTCTTAGGAGATTCCTATTGCTGGACACTTCTTCATCTACACAGATAAATATATCTTCTAGGAAGAAAAACCTCTTGAAAGTTCATATAAAAATTCCAAGTGTCACATAAGAACACAAAGGGATGCTTTATATCCTGTGCAAACCCAGGTTTCTAGAACCTAGCCACCAAGCCAGGGGTAGGTAGAGAGGAATCTGAATGATTGATAGACAAAAAGAAAAAAAAACACCCATGCTCCATTTACCCTTTCTATAGCAGGTTTCCAGTTCATAGTAGACCCAAACTGGAGAAGGAAGAATATTTTACATTAAATCAAATTTAGAATTGTATTACTATTTTGCATCATGCATCCAAAATATCGAACTAAATATATATTTGCGATTTGAATACACCATGAGACATTCAAGAATGCTACAGGACCCTAAAATATGTTAATATTTTGATCATGTTATAAGCCATGCTTACTCAACGTTGTTTTATTTCTAATAGAAGAAAAATGAAAAAAAATCTAAATACAGAGAATCACAACAACAGTCTTCAATTGGAAATGACATATTGTCTAATAAGAGTTTAGAAAGCACTGAACTTAGGTCACCCAACATAGGTAATCAAAGTAATTTTCTTTTCAGATACATTAGGCAACATCTTTTTTTTCCTGATTTAGGTGAAATGTGGCTCAATTACTGTAATTCTTAAATGATCATAAGAGAAGATATTGCTGCTGTATTTACATATGTTTGACCAATGTAGTGAAGCATGTGAGATTCATATTTGGTTTGAGCTTGCTATTTACATGCAATGTGTGTGTGTATGTAAGATTTAAAAGCTTTCTCTAATTTTGGGGAATTCAAATGAAGAGTTTGGAAATGTTTCTAGAGTTTTATTCCTATTGATACTATATGCTTATTTTGTGCATAGACATTCACCAGTTGGAAAGATGATTCTATGCAGAAACTATTCTTGTACTTGCTCAGAAACCAGGTCTATGGATCCTGATTTAATTACAGAAAATAGTGGGGGAGGAGAGAATTGCCTTAAAATTCTATTTAGATTGTATCTATTTTATAGTTAATCTAAGACTCCAAAGAGCTCTATAAATTCAGAAGAATTAAAAATAATTTCTTTGCTATAATGAAAAGAAAATAAATTTCCTGAACTAAATGTCTTGGTCTCAGTGTACAGAAATCAAAAGCCCTCACATTAATATAGTAGCTTTTCTTCCCCCTCCCCAAGTTCAATATAGAACCTGTTAACCAAGACTTGTTTTTCTACTCAGCAAGATTACATACAAACTCAATTTGATGAATTATGTGAATGCCACTGCTGAGACGCCCCACTGGTAATATAATATGATTATGCAAATATACAATTCAAAAAAATTAAGGCATAAAAAGAAGTAATAGATCAGATAAATAAACTTTTAAGGCTTTCTTTATTTCAGGCCATTTGTGTCAAAATTGGAAACTTGTTTGAAGGAAACATATGAAAACTGTAGGGAGGGTAGGAAGGAGTAAATCATCAGAGCATAGCATGTATTTGCAATGCACTGAATAGGTCCTTTATGGAGGAGGACTAAGCAATATTTTTGCTGTACATTTTGCCAGCTGAACATAGGTTGAATATTGCAAATCATTCTATTGTTTTAATTAGACTCAAGGCATCATTTTCCTCTAGTGAGTTCCTGTCTTAGTTAAAATAATGGAGTAAAGAATTCGATGTTGCATCTATGATGCTTAAGGACAGGTGCCAGGATGCTTTACCTTACCTCACCATCATTATAGGGAGATTTAGCAGATTGTTTCCTAGTTTCTTGGGAGAGCAAGTATATTTTGAGAGCAAACAAACAAACAAACAAAAAAATAAAAACAGAAAATAAACTGTGGAGACTATACAGGTTTTTTCCTTATAATTTGGGGTAGAAGGAGGTCAGTATCTGGTTGCTCACTGAAACAAGGCTTAAAAGGAATCACATGGCATTAATACCAATGTTTAAAACAAGAGGTGTGGGTACTTGCATTTTTTAATCCTCTCTTTATTTTGTATGTCATTCCTTGTATTCTTAATTTGCTTAGAGAACTGTGAGCTCTTGGGGGCAGGGATGTGGTCTTTGATCTTGTAGTTACCCTTATGCATCCCTGAGTCCTTAGCATGTGGTAGTTTTCTAGGAGAAACTTGCTGAATAATTGATATAAAGATCATATCATTGATTATAAAATCCTTTAAAGATCTAATTGCCTATCTTAACAGTTCTGAAATGAGAATGCATCTTACAGTCAACAGCCTCTCAGAGCTGCTACTGACTAGGTGACCAAAGCATCATGTTATGACTTGACAGAAAATCTCAGAGATAGAATTTCTCAACAGTTCTGAATTATAAATGCTCCTCATGACATAAAGGATAATACTGAAGAGAAAACCATGGTCATCAAGCACTCTGGAATAAAAACCGATTAAAAATTGGGATCCAAGTATGAAGCTTTGGGAATGATTATCTATTTATTTTGCTTTTATTTATCTTTATATGTATGCCAACTTGTGATACATGGTTTGGAACAAAATAAACATAAATATAAAAAAGCTTTTTCAATAATACTGCATCTCATAGGAAAGCATTGTGGTACTTTAATTGGCACTGTGTTTCATTTTGAAGTGAGAGATAAAATGATGACACATTTTGAATCATTAAATTTCGTATGGCCTACAATTTTGTGGCAGAGGGTTTGATAATCATAGTGTTTTGATTAACATGATAATATTATGAGTAATATATATTTTCATTATATAATATTGCTAATAATTTGGATGATAACAGATAACTGTGTGCACTAAAACTGCTACAATCTTTATTTATAAAGTCACATGTTGATACTGATATACTCAGTTATATTTTCCTTCCATTGGAATCTGACATCATGAGTGATTCACATTTGTGTGCTCCAAAGGTCTTCCTGGACATATGAATTTGGACTTCAGAGGCTTAGGACTTCATGTTCTATTGCCAACCCAGGACCATGCCAAATGAAGTTGGACATGAAGAAACAGATAGTCTCTCTGCACACCCTCCTTCCTCTCCTTCCAGTCTCCCCAAAAGGATGGAGTAAGAGGTTCTGCATATGCAGCACTAGGGGACCCACTGAAGGCAGTTATGGCTTATACCTTAATATACTGTCGTTGTCGATTAGTGTCCCACATTTTACTTAAATTCCTTGAATAAGTGTTGCCTTTTCTGTTTCTGACTTTTCCATGTCTTTGCTCAATTTCAACATGTCAAAATCTTACTCAAAAGTATAAATACCATAAATAACCTAATACCAGGTTATTAGGCTATTCCCTAATAACCTCAGGCAGAAATGATTAGAAATTCTTTTTAATTTTTTCTAAACCTTTTGTTCATGCTATATCATATGACAGAGCCATCAATATATTTTATTTTCACTGAAAATAGAATCTTTTGAGTATAGGGTAATATCTTCTAGATCTCTGTATCACCTCTCAACATAAAGCACTGTTTGTAATAGGTGTTTACAATATAGAATCTGTGTAACATTGTTTTATGTTCTATGCCATATTTTCATTTCTTTACTTACTTTCCCCCCCCCCCCTGCTGAGGTGCTGGAGATTGATGTCAGGACCTTGCACATATCTTGGCAAGCACTCCACCTGAGCTGCACCTCCAATCTTCACATTTTGGGGGGTGGGGTACCCGGGATTGAACAGAAAGGCACTCACGTGCTGACCCACATTCCCAGCCCTATTTTGTTCAGAGGCAGGGTCTCATGGAGTTGCTCAGGACCTCACTCTTGCTGAGGCTGGCTTTGAACTCACAATCCTCTTGCCTCAGTCTCCCAAGCCACTGAGGAGACTACAGGTATGTGCCAGTATGCCCAGCCACATTTTAATTATGTACTTCTATTAACAATATTATAAAAACTGTTCAATGTATCACTGAAAATGTATGAAACTACTCAATATAAATATAAAGCATTGTCATTAGCATTTAAGAATTTTTGTTTCTACTTATAATTAGACATTATCTCATTACTTAAAAACAGCATTCTCTGCATGTTACATATATATGCCATATTTGAGGATATAGTTTTATATTTAAACGTTTCAGTATTTGCTTTCCAATAGCATGGCTAACCTAGAAATCTATGCTGTACCAGTCTAGAGGCAAACTTACCTCTCACAATGATGTTGGTAGACTTTTTTGCGGGATTCCCCACATTATTATTGGCGATGCAGCTGTAAGTACCAGCATCATCTGAGGTGATTGCAGGGATGGTCAGAGTTCCTCCATTCAAAACAGTCTTTTCAGGCAGAGTCCCAAAGGACCTGACCCAGGTGAGAGAGGGTGCAGGTTCTCCTCCTGTTGTAACACACACTAATGTTATGGCCTCTCCAGGATTTACAACTATAGGATCATCCACCAAGAGTTTAATTGACGGAGATGCTAAAAAACATAAACAAAAGAACATGCACCTATTTTAATATGGCACAACTGGAATTCAATAGCATGCTTTATATCTCATCCATCCACTCACACATTAAAATGAAATATTCTCTTATACTAACATCCAAATATATGGCTCAAATTTAAGCAAGATTTAATAATTTTTAATTTTAATTAAAGACATAAACTTATAGAATTGTATTAAAAATTTTGCACTAGAGTGGGCAATTCAAGTTTATGTTTCCTTAGATTAGTGCTCTTAAATTGGAATCACAATAGTGCTTAAAGTTTTAAAAGAAAATATTTCCTTCTTTCTCTTTAAGTGAAGCACTTTTTGCTTTTGCCAATCCCAGTATAGATATTACAGTGGTTTAGTCCTTGTACTTTATGATGAAGTTGGTCTATTATCTAGCTTCGGGATCATTCAGAGGTGAAGTTATTAATTCTGATAAATAGAACACAACTCCAGGCATAGATCATCCCAGTCTATTCCCAGGCAGTGGACCCAATTTTTGTTCTTAAAATAATAACAAAATCATCTAATTCCAATGCAGTCCCATAGTACAGTTGTAACCCCATCAATCAGAAAGGTCTAGGCAGTGTGTTCTCATAAGCACGGCTTCAAAACTCAGAAAGAAACAAAGACATGAGGGCTCAGATAGCCACTAAACCACTCTGCTTCTATTCTACTGTTCAGGTTTTAAAACTCTTCCAGTGAAATTCAGCCCTTTTTAATATTTCATGTTTTAAAAGCACAACCAAAAACACTCATTAAATTGAAAAAAATCTTTATTACAGCCTTCTCATCAAACTCTCAAAATAAAAGTCACACAAAAATTATATTCATATATGGCAAATATTTTTGTGCTTGCATTGCAGTACAACTCTAAATAATGCATCCTTAAATAAAACCAGGGAGTATAGATTATACTGATATTTGAGTTTACACATTCAGAAACAGTTCAGTCAAAGTCACAGCTAAAAAATATAAACTAAATTTATATTAGAAATATTTAAACTGTTTAAAGATCTACATGATTTTTTAAAGATATTAACTCTAGTTTAGAGTTGAGTCTTAATAGGAGCTTTTGTGGTTCAATATAATCTGTCTTGTTTTAAAAAAGAAAGCCAGAGGTGAACAAGAAAATAATTCCACATTATGGTTTCATGAGATAGACACAGAGTGCCTGTTTGACCTTTTTAAACATCATTGTTCCATGCTGGCTCTTGTAACATCATTTTAAATAATATGGGAGTTTTCAAAATGTCATAATATTAGCCCTTTAAAAGTGCTGACATTAAGTTATAAAGATTTATGATTAAAAATGACATATAATGTATAGTGAAGATAATGCACAGAAGTCACCACAAATTGACAGACAATAAAATGTTTAAAAGAATTATTTAATGTTAGTAAACTTAAAGAAGATATTATTAATTACATATTCTGAAAATACACTTAATCATGAATATACCATCATGAAAAGATAAAGGAAAGACTTCTTGAGGTAAATAGCATAGTCTTACAAAATTATTTAGTTAAAATATAATTATATTAATTCTAACACAATATCATATTAACAAAGCTTTTTTGTTTAATATCACATTTTAGGAAGATTGAAAGGTACAAGATTAAAGATAATTTAGTATAATTTTGGACTATAGAAACACATTAAAGTGATATTTAGTCAAGGGATATTTGTCCCCATAATTGTTTTGTGTAAGATGAGTTTTTTTAATTTAATAAGAGATTATTTAAAGAAAATAGCTCAAGAGAATTTAAAAGCTCAAAACATAATACTATATAGAGAGAAGATCTCTCTTTTACCTATAGTACATTGCAGAGCTGCACTCACAACCTTATATCTATGTTCTCCCCCAAATCTAGGTTGAAAATGCAGTGCTGTCCAAGGTAGTTTTATTAATGATGGCATTTATTTTCTCTGATTTTGTTTGAAATTAAAAATAGTTCTAGCTTACCATAAAATGGCTAACAATTTCAAGAAATTATTAATGTTTGTAAACACTTTTAATATAAAAAATGTATAGCTTTAAAACCCAAGAAGTCAAAAGATAAAATCATTCTCAACATTGTGCTAGCATCTTACTTTACATTCCCCCAAATCAGCCTTTTGAAAATTAAATGTTTTGCTTAAGAAATATAGAAATTTTAACAACCTAAGCTTAAATCATATCCTAGAGGAAAATAAATGACATGGGAAAAATTTTAATGTGGGAAGTTTTTTAATCTGTTATTAACAATATTTAAATATTTATCAAATTGGATGGATCATTTGCTAATTTGGAGGTATATCAAGAGTGATGTAAATGTTCTGAGTTAATTCTTCTTAGAGGTTTCCCTGGTCTCTATATTTTCCCTTCTGCATCATTCTACAGAATATTACCTAGGCTTCCACTAGAGCTTTCAGTCAGTGTCCTGATTTCACTATCTGAAATATGGTGTGATAGTTACATGGCAGGAGCACAAACATGGAAGACTTGAAACCCGGTTTCAAGTCTTAACTTTGTCACTTAGTAACTATATGAACTAGGGTGAGTTATTTCATTTCTGAGTGCCTCATTTTCCTATTATTGAAATACAGAAAATAATTGTAATTATCTTACTGAGGTCATTTAACATGTTTAAGGTGCTTATAGCCATACCTAGAACAAAAGACACACAGAATAAATTTCTTTCTTTGCTCATTGTTTTAATTACCTTCCTCATAGTTCTGCCTAGTGCTTGGTATACAGTGGGTGCTTAATAAATATTATTAGGCAAAAGCAATAAATTGAAGCACAAATGAGCAGTACAAAATGCACAATCACTACCAAAACAAAACTATTAGGATTATATATGGATGAAATATTTTAAGACCATTTTGATATTTTAGAGGTCCTATACCACATTGTATAAACATTTAAATATAGAAATTCTTATAGAATAAACAATCACTTATTGATTTCATTTTATAATGTATTTATTTTTAAATTGAAACTGTTTTTATAAGATTTCAACATTTCAGAGGACTTTAAAAGCTCATAGATCTTCCATCATTTGCTTTGTGGGTATATGCTATTGTTTTTGGTGTCCTGAAATTGTTCAATCACCCTGAGAGCATGAACTACTGACTTCCTTTCCTGTACTTATGTAGGCATATAGGATATGAAGAAAGATAAAGCTCATTATACTAAATCATGATGTAGCTGAATATATGTATATGTCTAGAGCATATACTGATGGACTTACCACATTTTCATATAAGAAGAAACATAAAAATTCTTGAGGGTATAAATTCCCTTATTACTATAAAAATAATTGTTCTAAAACAGTTATAGGCTCAGATGCCCATTGATTCATCCTAGCAACATGTGAGACAGATTATACGTTTAAGTTGATTTTTAAATAACAGAAAGGCTGATATGAGACAAGAGAAACACTAAATGGAACAGTATTACCATTTGGGATGCTCATCAGACAAAGGCAAAACATAAATTTTATAAGAAATGAAAGAAAACAGGAACAGAACGACCAATGAAACTGCCTACTCATATGTAGAAGCCAAAAAAAAAAATAAGGAGAAACAATTTCATAAAAGTAGAGACTAGAATGAGTAGGGAAGAAGGGTGGCAGAGACAAGTTAGATGATATGAACCAAAACATAGCCAGACAGGAAGAAAAGGGCCAGTGTTCCACAGCAGTGTGATACTGGAATTCATACCATTATTAATTTTATAAAGAATTAGAAAAATTCACAACATCCTAGCACAAACACACACACACACAAAAAAAATGATAAATGTTTACAGAATAGAAAATGCTAATTACCCTGATTCTATCATTACATATTGCATATATATATATGGACTTATCATATTGTGCTTCATGCATATGTATAATTATTATGTGTTAAATATGAAAAACAAAGTCAAAAGCATAAAAAGTGAAATAAATAAACAAAAAAATCCTTCAAATTACATGAAGTCTTTTTATTACCAAATTGTGGATTATCTTAAACATGATTTATAATTATTGCCAAAACACAGCTCAAATCAGATAAAAAGAGTTCCAACTAAACCACCAATTTATAGACATTATGTATGATACACACAGTGCTTACAAGTGACCATGGTGCCAGTCAGAATTTCAGATGGGTAATTTTCCAGGATTTCATGATGGCAGGCACAGTTACTATAGCAGTTGTCACAGAGATTGACACTTCTCATCAAGAAAAGCATGCAACATTCTAGCATGCTTCCTGTGCTCTGTGCTGGAAACACTAGATAAATACATTGATACATTGACAGGTAGGTACATGTTTGAATAGTTAGCAAAACAGATGAGAAAAATGGAAAGCAATGATAGATAAATAGATAGCTATTATCGGTCGTGGGAGGGATGTGATGTGGTAGAACAAGAAAGACAGAGAGAAAAAGGAAGAGGAAGGGAGAGCAGAGTAAATAGGTCCATTTTCTTATTTTCCAAAATGCCAAACCCTTAATAGAACTTCAATAACTGTAGAAAGTATGTTTGAGGAACTATCTCTAAAAAAGGGAGTCCTGTGTTTCCTTTAGCACCTTTCTTCCTAGCAAAGACAACTTTTCTTAGACAAAGCAATGGATACGTCAGTGAATCTAAGATAACTGGCCTCTTGGGCTCATAAGCAGAGGGGATCTCTGCATCCCTTTTTTCTATGAGTATTTTTGGCCAGACAAACAAGGACACAGTATTCTTATGGGAAGACTCCATGGTCCTAGGAAAGAGCCCTCAGCCCCGACATTGGTGAAATGCAAAGAGCAAAGAGGCCAGCTAGAACAGAACATACCAACACAAGAGAAATGACAGATCTCCAACAAACAGGTCTATCCAGAGTAAGGCCTCGTACTCCAAGCTGTGGTTCGGCATGGCCTCCCTTTAATTTAAACAAAATTGGAACTGCTAATTAACTGAGATAAAACTCAAAGTATGGCCAGTTACCTTGAATTCACTGAAGTATCTA